TTATTTATATACTGTGTGTTTTCAGTAAATCAGAATAATAATGTATTCTTCAGATGTATGACTTTATAATGTTTAAAAAATGTATGAAGTTTGAATAATAGAATTGCAGTGAGCTTACCACTATTCTCTTATTGATACATGTTAACAGTTGCTGTGTTAAATTGACTAACTTGGATCACCATGATTGCTTTAGAAATAAACTTTTAATTAGCCCAATTTTTTAAAGGCATCGGCTTGGTGACATGGAATGAGTTTGAAGCCTTGCTTTGACAATGAATTTACTTTGGATTTCATTACACGAGTCCATGCAGTTTAAATGAACACCACATATCTGTTGGAGACCTAAAATAGTGTAGCTCTCTTTTAAAGAAAGGCTTTGAAAGCATGTTTACTTTTCTTCACTGCTCTATATAACTTTATATTATTGTGGAAAACCTTTCTGTTTTTCACATTGGGTGATGGGTTTTAAAAAAACTTGTAACCTAAATTAGATTCTTGTTGTATGTTTATGCTGTAAAAGGCTACATGTTTTCTGACTAATAGTTCTAGTACAATAGAAATTAGTTCAAGTTGGTTGCACCTTAGATTCTTGCCCAAGTTTTTATACTCAGCTCTATATAGTGTCATTACTAAATGTTTGTTGAGATGTAGTGTCACTTACAGACTGATGTTGTGCTTTGTTCTTGTTAAAAATTTTTTAAAGTGATTGAAGTAGAATAGCAAGCTTTGGATTATTAGGTAGGTTGTCTGTTGTTGTATTGTGACTCATTGATTTCAGTTTTAAGACACTCGAGAATGATTGCCTGAATTGTCAAATGTATGTCTAGTCTTGAAATGCCTTTCAGTGTGCTGCAATTTCCTGCAAGCTCAGCAAAGACGCAATAATTCATTATCTGCGGCACTTAAATAACCACTTTGATATCACAATTTTCACATATTTTTTTTTACCCGAATTATGCTTTTAGTCAAAATATATTTATTTAAAAAAAATAGTAAAATGTTATCTAAGCTCTAAATATATAAATTGTTCAATTTGTTTTTGATTATATTAAATTTTTTAGTATTTACTTTTGGATTTAAAAAAAAATCTTTGAAGCACTAATGCTAAAACCAAAAGAATAATTGGTAGCATTCATTAAAGAAATCAAAATATCTGACAGTTTTTATATATAAATCATGTATATTAAGCCTTGAAAGATATTGGTCTCTTGTGATTGGACCTGCTTTTCATTCAAGTCTATTATTTTATTAATTTTGCTTTAAGTCATGTCTGGTCTACAATTAAGTAATATAATTGTTTGCATTTGTAAAGTCCAAAAAAATTTCACTAAGTCATTTTTTTAACACCTATTTTATATTCTACACAAACCAAAATAAACTTATCAAAGTAAGATGTCATTTATACATCTACCTTTTGCTTAAAGGAGCTTTTCCTTTCAATGTAATCATTGTACCAATGTTTTATATGCTCTTATACGAATTCATAGCTTTACTAGACTCATGGTAAGCATGATAGTAATTTTAACTCTCTCCCTCCATAATCATTTACCACGTTTTGGTGGAATCAACGCTGATATCATCAGTTAGGAGAGAAAGAGCTAATATGGCCTGAATCTTGAAGAGGAAAACAGAACTATCATCCCCGCCCCCCCAACCATCTCATCTATAGAATTCCTGCGCCATAAAAGCTCCTAACAATGTTTAGATAAAGTTATGAAGGCTGGACTGCTGGCCACAGAAACAATAACCGTTTCCTATCTTTATTTAAATGTCAAAATATGTTTCATTCATCTCCATGTCTTTTGTTTTTTACATTTTTTCTCACCTTTCTTTTTTTATTAGTCTTGATAGGGACTTTTTAATGATAGTTTATGACCTTAAAGTTCCCCTCTCAGATCTTGTGATCTTTAAGGCAGAGTGTAAAGGTCATCTGTTTCTGTGGCCCACAGTTAATTGTTATCACCTTAGTTCATCCTTATTGAAGACTAGGGGTAGATCAATCTGTCAATGCTTGTTGTCATGGGATGGCAATGCACTACTTACTCAGAAAAGTTTAGCATAAAAATGGCTTGATTGGCAGAGATGTTTCCACTGAAATGCTGTATTACTTGACTGCTAATTTTTTTGTGTCAACTTTCCATCCATATTATTAAAGCCTTAAATGTTTTTAGTTTCAACTATGCAAATTTTATCTACTATAGTTTTGTTTCTGGTGTACATTTTGTTACTATTAATACATCAACTCTTTCTCTCTGTAATTATTTACCACATTCTGGTGGAATCAACGTTGGTATCGTCAGTTAGGAGAGAAAGAGTTAATACACAACAAAACCACTGTCCACTACATGTGATAAGTAACTGATTATGAAAATGCATTTTATTTTTAATTTCTTTATTTTCAAAGTGAGAACAGACCCTGGAAGTCAGGAGAAATTAAGTTAAAAAGTAACTTAAATTAGAACTAATTTTAAAGAAATCTAAATTAAGCATTTACATTTAAAGAAAAAACTTCATCAAAATTAAATCAATTCATCAGCTGCTTTTTCTTTTTCTTATAACTTTGCATTGAAAAAGACTTTTGCCAATTTATTATACTAAGTTCAAAATCACAAATTGGCTTCTATGATTGATGTACTAGACATTTATAATAGCCTGAAAGTATTATTATACATGTTTTTTAAAGAAAACTTATTCACAATAATTCAATTATTCTTTTACAAATTCTGAGCTAGTCTCTTAAAAAAAAAATATTTTTAATTAAAAAAAACTAAACATTTCTGAGTAAATTCAATCAGAAAATGTTTAGTTTTTTTTTCTTAAAAGTATTTTTTGTTTTGCATTCCCATTGTATTATTTTGTAATCTCGTATACCTACAGACTATTCTTTAATAAGAAATTGTTGGAGAAACTATTTTGATAAAGACTTGAAAGAATGAATCATTTTAAATGAACTGACTCACACATTTTGATTTTGTGGAGCAACATAGGAGATGGTATACAATACAATTAATTCACTCCTTTGAACACTTGATAGTGCCATGTACCCCTTATATATAATATAAATATATATTACTGTTAGTTAGGCTGTTTTGAGATTTGAATGCGATATTTAGAGCTGAAATATTTTATTGTATTTAGTGCTGCTTTTGTATGGTGGTCTACGTCTTTGTCCTGTCTGGAAAGTTTCTTGCTGTTATTTATTTATTTTTTTAAATTTATTACTTTGATAGGCTTTAAAACTTTTGGAAACTTAAACCAATAGAATTCATTGTAATCATTTGCTGCACTTTTGTAAACAGATGACACTACTAAACAGCTAAGTTCTCATTATAGCCTAGTCCCCCTTTGCCTATTTGAAATGTTAGTAAAAATCCGAACACACTCTGTGGACTCTAGAACTTTCATTTTTCTTACAACTCTTTTTTTTTCTTTATTAGCTCTTACGCTCTGAAACTCTGTCCCTCTCTTAACTTTTACATGGTTCCTGTTTTTCAAGAACAAAATTAGACCTGAGGGTCGTAAGATACTAGTTAGTTATTGTTTTAATTATTTTAGGCTTTTTGCTCCAGTCAGAACTTAATGATCTCTGCTTATAGATGGCATTATTCCTGATTGATTTTTGTTTGGTTTTAATAAGCATGTTGATCTTTCATCATAATGATTAAAAGTGTTATATTATAGATTAAATAATCTTATTTTGTGTTATTTTAATTGGTTTACATTTGCTTTTTTGTTTATTTTTAAGATCCCTATTTAAATTTTTTTTTTTTTTTAACATTGGAATGTTAGTTTAATCAGTACTTTATACTGTTTCTGTGTTTAGGTCACAATGACCCAACCATGACCTACTTGATAAGGGTAAAAGTAATAAGCTACATTACTTTCTCACTGTCAGCATGTTTTAAAACTTAGTTACTGAATTCAATACATAGTTTATGACCATGTGTTTATGTATGACATGACGAGATGGCTAAGTAGAATCATTTCATTCCATTATATTCAAAAATAGTTTCTTGAAGACATGGGTGACCACTAGAGTATGATAAGCTACATGGTTAGTTATATATCTCTATTTCTAAACATGTCCTTCCAATCAGGAGTTACACTCAGGAAAAATGGACACTTTGCTCACACAATATCAATGGGTATCTAGCACCTGTTGAGTAAAACTATTGTTAGCTTCACCTTAAGCGGGCTCACATAGGTCTCACCAACCACATATAGGGCTCAAAACCCCAGTGCAAAGCCCTCTTGTTTGCCATAGATCTAAGAACTCTTTGATTCAATTACCTTTATGCCGTTGGACCTTTAAAAATAAATTGTGTATCACTACATTTGTATTACATGATATGACCTGGATGTAATTGTGCCTGTTTATCAATGTTGACTTTGTCATTGACTTCCTGATTAGATTAGACTTTGTGTCTTGTTGACCTAGTTGCTTAAACATGTAGACCTGTAGTGAACAGTTTCTAATGTTATCTGTTGGTTTAACTTCAGATATAAGCTATAAGTGAGGAACAGTTTGTTTTGTCTTCTATAGATTTATGTTATGTTGTTTTTATCAATTTGTCTTTCAAATACATGTCAGTGGTAGCTAATAAATACACTGATGGGCTAACCATCACTATCAAACTGTTTGCCAACTGTAGAGAATATTTTTTTATTCAGCAATTCAAAGGGTTGATTCTATTATTTGAAGGAACAGACAGGCAAGCCTCCCAGTTTAAATCCTCAATTTAATAAAAGCAATGGTATTGCTACTTGTTAAAGTTAACTGTCACCAACTTCTGCTGGTCAGTGACATCAAAGGGAAATAATTTATTATTCTATTAAATATTAGTTATTTTATTTTTATTATATATTAATTATTTTAGGCTTTTTGCTCCAGTCAGAACTTAATAATCTCTGTTTATAGATGGCATTAGTCCTGATTGATTTTTTTTTAATAAGCATATTGATCTTTTATCATAATGATTAAAAGTTTTATATTATAGATTAAATAATCTTATTTTGTGTTATTTCGCTTAGCCTTACAATAATTGTACTTCAACAAGTGACACATGAATCATTTATTTGTGGACTCGTGACATTCTACTTCTGCTCAGTTACTCAAGAGCGTCACTTGGGTATCATGTTGAGGCTGTACTTTTAGGATACATTATTATCTGTCCTGTCTTGTAGAGTAGATACCAATTAATGTATTACATTTTCCGATGTTTTAGAGTGTGGTGTTAATGTGGCCTCGTACCAACATGGGATGGTATCAGTTTGTGGTTTGCTAACAGCATGTAGTGTGTATATCTGATGTATTCAGTTTCACAATAAAGGCTTTCGATGAAAACTTCCATCTTCTTTTACATGTTCTTTGACAGAAGTTACAGTCTAAGTGTTTCTTGTCTGTTTGTAAGTCTCAAGATTATGTTGTGATATTTTACATTTATTCATTTTTTTAAATTGCTTCTTCAGGGAATGTGGAGCAACAGATTTAAAAATTTATTTTGACACATTTCCACTTTTGAAGTCCATTTGAAAATTTTCAAAGTGGTAAGAACGGAAATAAATTGTATAGTTGGCTGGTCAAAGTGTTAGTCCACGAATGATCTGTCGTTGTTGAGATCAAAACTTCGTTTGATCAATCAAAACATGGCAAACAAGCATTTCAAGAAAATTGATACTTAGGGACAAGAAAGTTGTGTGCAGTGTCTCATCCACTGGAGCCACCAGCGAACGCGATACAACAGGATGTTTATCTACTCAATTCAAACCCAATCTCCATAAAGACATCCACAGGAACCACCAGTGAACGCGATACAGCAGGATGTTTATCTACTCAAGACAAACCCAATCTCCATGAAGACAACAGATGGTTATAATCCACACACGAAGACAACAGATGGTTATAATCCACACACGAAGACAACAGATGGTTATACTCCACACACTAAGACAACAGATGGTTATAATCCACACACTAAGACAACAGATGGTAATACTCAACACACTAAGACAACAGATGGTTATAATCCACACACTAAGACAACAGATGGTTATATACCGCACACTAAGACAACAGATGGTTATAATCCACACACTAAGACAACAGATGGTTATAATCCACACACGAAGACAACAGATGGTTATACTTCAAAAGAACACTTCTATTCACAAACATATACATACACCCCGTTAACCTTCCAACCTACCCGCAACAAGGCCACATCTCCGCAAGCCCACCACTTACAACTCACAAAACCCATTTCATCAACTCAACAAAGACCAACTTATCTGTTACACGACTTTCACTTGATCAGAAAAAAATTTGCTACAACTGATTTCAAACTTCTTAACTTAACATGTCGTTTCACCAACAGTACTTGCACTGACTGACTTGCTGCAACTGACTTGAAAAAAAGTAACTTTAAAAGGTCATTTCACCAACAGCACTTGCTGACTTGCTGCAACCAGCGCCTCGATTACGCCTACCTAATTCATGTTCACTATTTACACGTTCACTCTCTTCACCACAATTCACTACAATGTACAACGAGTGAACTATTTTATCTCGGACACTTTGTTTTTTTTTTATAAAAAAAGTATTTTAGATTTTGATTTTTAAATTGCTCCTCTCTGGTTGACTTGTTAATCTGCCAGGGGAAGGGGGTGTAGTTCAAGCTCTGGGGATAGACTAGAGTTCTCTCCACTTACTCCATTACTTTCTCATCAATGATGATCTTTTTGTGCTGCGGTTTCATCTTTTATTCTTCCTAGCTGTTTAGCTTCAACGTACTTTTAGTGTTGCTGTTCCATCTGTTAGTCTTCCCAGCTGTTTAGCTTCAACGTACTTTTAGTCGTGAAAGAAACTGTCAACTGTAAGAATAAACAAGGGGACACTGCTGCCTCTTTTTGACTCTCTACTGTGAGCTAGCAAGGCTGATCCATTGCTAGACAGCTGGGCTCTGACATGTGTCCCCGTCACGTTATAGCCACATCCCATGACCTGTACACTCTGGGCGGTTACTTTTAGTTTTTACAACTACTATAATAAAAAGGTGCATTTTTAATAAATAGTATGGAGCGTGGTACGGGTTGCATGAATCAGACAGGAAAACCAATGAATTAGCAAAGTTTAAGTCCCTAATTAAGATGCAGGAATAAATTAGCACGTGGATACATGAAAGACGTAATTATCTTCTCTGGAGAAAAGTGTCAGTTATAGATGACAGTAGGCTAGCTGTGGACCATGTGAATTCAAGAGTTCAAAGTTCACATCCCAATGGGAACTAGACTTAATTAGAGTTTATGAAGTTGTTTTTTTTTTTAAATTGCATCACGATATAGCATTATGTACCCCTTTGTTCCATTGGAATTCAGTATTATATAATAATACTGTGTTAGCTCGTTTTCAATATGAATAATTACTGTGCATTTAATCACAACGGCAAGGGAAATAAGTGATAAATAGTTCAAGCTTCATTATTATATCAGTTATCTACCTTTTCCACACACACACACACACACACACACACAAAAGCTTCATATAAAAATTGTAAAAAAATTTTTAAAGAAATGAAAGCATTAAAACAGTACACATTTCAAAGATTTAAAAACTAGTTTGTTAATGAATTCAATAGTCTTGAAACTTCCAAAATTTAAAATACGTATGCGTTACAATGCGTCTTTTGTCATGCCATATATTCTATCATTAAAACAGTATGCGGAAGAATGAAACACAGGGCTAGCTAGAAACACACAGGATGAAGGTTACAGTTCACTCTTGTAAACAATGAAATGTAGTTGGTAAAGTTAATATCTATAATCCTGATATTTAATGAGGATGTGATTTGTAAAAAGTGGAGGGGGATATCATTCCAGATAAGGAACTAGAACTAACTTGACATACTTACTTAGACTCCGTTCAGCGCATTGGGCGGCAAGCTGTCTCCACAAAGATCTGTCACTAGCAATATCTGAAGCCTCCTCCCATCTGGTGTCCACTGTTCTAAGGTTCTCCATGAAAGTGTATACGAGGACCTTCCTGTTTGCGCTTTCCTCGTATTGGCCTCCATGTCAGTGCAACCCTTGGTGTGCGTAGTTCAATGAACTAACTTGGGATTCCAACATTTGGTTACCAGGAGCCTGCCAGGCCTGATAAGAGCGAAAACGAAAAAAAACAAAACAACAAAGCCTTACAAAGGGAGCGCACCAAGGAGGACAACATGTTAGAACAGAGAATTTAAAAATACGAAGTAATCTTCAGATGCTGGGCTTACAAGGTATTGTAGGAAAAATGTCAGTAAGGATCTGGATTTACTTATTTATATAAAGTATCACATTATTTAGAATATTATCGGGTTGTTCATCGTACACTCCATAAAAACATCTATCCCCCAATCTATCCTCTTCCCTGACGTCGATCAATGTGACTAGATCGACACATGAAATGCGTAGGACGTAATTATCTTCTTTTTTGAAGTAACGTCTGTAATAATAATAATAATAATAATAATCAAAATTCCTCGGTGGAAACTGATAAAGGGACTACGATGAATTTTGTTTCCCTCTAACGAAACTCGACCCTGGCTTCGACAGAGAATGAATGCTCGTTCTTTTATAATAATAATAATAATTTGTATTATCCCTAAGGAAACTTGTCTTACACTTTGAGCATTACACCTAAATAAAGCATTATAATTATAGCAAACCAAAATATACATTCACACAAGGCTCATTCATAATTTACATGTGAAAAGTTGATATCAGTTTCTATTTAAACATCTGAGTGCCAATAATACAAGAGAGTTTTTGTGTTTGTCTTTGCTATCGGTATCTTATATCTCTTTTATGATGGTAAAATCACAAATCCTGACCCAAAGGGTGATTTGTTATTTCTAGAATCTTTTTAGCTTTTTTTATGAATGTTTCTCTCAAAGAACTGCCCAAAAAGGATTTTTTTTTTTTTTTTGCCAATGATTTTAACAGCAGCATTTTAGATAATCTAGAAGCAGAAGGTAAACGTGCTTTCAACGTCAACATTATTCCCGGGAATGCAATTCAATCTGGCTACATTTTAATCTAGATACAATTCAATCTGGCTACATTTCAATCTAGATACAGTTCAATCTGGCTACATTTTAATCTAGATACAATTCAATCTGGTTACATTTTAATCTAGATACAATTCAATCTGGCTACATTTCAATCTAGATACAATTCAATCTGGCTACATTTCAATCTAGATACAATTCAATCTGGCTACATTTCAATCTAGATACAATTCAATCTGGCTACATTTCAATCTAGATACAATTCAATCTGGCTACATTTCAATCTAGATACAATTCAATCTGGACAAGTTCAATTTGCTTTTGGTTTCCATTTTGCATTTTACGATCGTGTTCAGATTCAAACGTGTCTTTAAAGCAATAGAACACAGTAAGAGAGAGAAAAAGAGTAAGCGATATGGGAATATGTTGGGGTGTCATAATGAGCTCAAAGTACCACAGAGAATTGAAATGAGGAATATTGTTTCAGAACTAAAGAGATAAACTGACTTAATCCTGTGCACTCCCAGGGGAGCATAGGGCGCAACCACAACTCTCCACCGAACTCGGTTCTGAGCAGCTTTCTTCATCTGCTCCCATGTCATTCCAGTACCCTCAGCTTCACTGATGACTGACCTCTTCCAGGTTTGCTTGGGTCTGCCCACTTTCCTCTTTCCTTGTGGGTTCCAGTCAAGTGCCTTCCTTGCAACATTGGTAGCTGGTTTTCGCAGGGTGTGTCCTATCCAGCTCCATTTTCGTTTTGTGATGTCTTGGGCTATGGGCTTTTGTCTAGTTCTCTCCCACAAATCGATAGTAATCTTTTCTGGCCACCTAATTCATAATATCCGGTGTAGGCATCTGTTAACAAAGGTCTGGAGCTTTTCCATATTTGTTTTAGCGACTCTCCAAGTTTCTGAACCGTATAGAAGGACAGACTTAACGTTGGTATTATAGATTCGTATCTTGTTGTGTAGTGATAATGCCTTAGAGCGCCAGATAGTTTGGAGAGTTGAAAAGGCAAACCTAGCTAGATAAAACTATTAACCAATTATGGCCTGTTCTTAGCAGAACTCAACAAAGTCATAGACAAGATAGCTGCTGGCAAAGCCGCTAGATGCCATGGTATTCCACTCAGCTCTCTTGAAACAGCACAAAACTACACTAAGCCAACCTCTACACAAATTGCTCTGCAAATGTTGGCAAGAAGGTGCTGTGCCACAGATCCTTGCGGGATGCTAAGATTGTCACCCTGTACAAGAACAAAGATGACAGAAGCGACTGCAACAACTACAGGCAAATTT